TTGTCCGAAATTTTCACAGTTTTTCTCAAGACATTGTACTTTCAATTTAAGCAGAAAAAATTTTTCGATTTTTTGAACCTAAGTTACCAGACTACTACCTTAAATATGGACGCGACAGGAAACCATTTTTTGTTTTTATTCGTAATTGCTTAAGAACTCGTAACTATTACGTAAAATTATTGACTGATTTGAAGTAGAAATGAGCGTCACTTATAGAGCTCTTGTTAAGGCGACCAAACTTTTCTTTTACTTGAAATCGGCGGTAATAAACATCATTACAATATTTGCATTTTTCTTTGCGCTAGGTCGTATCGAGAGAACGCAAATTCCTATATAATAGCCAAAAAAAAATATGCAACCGTTTAAATAACAGAAAAGGGGCCTTTTCATCATTTCATAGGTAGCTACACATATACACAGAAATTCCCCATCATGGACACCTCCTGAACAAATTTCGCTATTTTCCTAATATTTCGTTCAAGTTATCTTTGATACCAATACGTAATAATAATCAATAATTGTCTGACGCTGGAGCTGTCTAGTTCGTCATTTATCTACTCCTGGTTAACAATTGTTCRCATTTATTAGTTCAATAGAAATGTTGTTATGAGCTACAGTTTCTATATGGGCAGCTCACTTAGCCGTACCAAAAAACACAGCGACGGTGGTGTTCGGTTATGAGGAATTTCGCTGCATATTCATTAGAGCTGGTCAATGCGGGAAATATTGTACGGATCATTATGAGTGACTTTTCGCTTAAGAGAATACGTATCTAAAACATATGTATATCACCCATACAAAAAAATGTTTTCTTGTCTCTTCCAGTTTTAAATTAAAATTATAAATAAAAAACTCGAAAACATTTCGAATGTTCATTAACATACACTTAGAACTTACCTAAAGGTTTTTTAGTATTTAGTATACATACATATTTATTTTCTAAATGTCAATGCCGTTGTCAGAATTATTGTTTTACGCTAGCAAAAATTTTAAAATAATTCCTATATAAGTAATGTATAGTATGTATAATGATTCGTGAGCACTAACTATTGTTAAATATATTTTACATGAGAATTATGTGAAACTCGAGTCGAATTTTTCTCTCACTTCATTGTATAAAATTTTCGCAAATGTTGTGTGGTTCGGCTACGCCACACTTAAGAGTGTAAGAATTTCCATGAATATGTTAGAACAATATTTACTACCCGCTGTTAATATTTTCAAGGTCTTTTCTTGTGGAATRCATATTATATTAGTATTCATATAATAAACTAATCGAGACAATGAAACTTTTATTTACGAATATTGGGGAATATTTTCATACAAATAATTTTCATTGGATAAGATAACGAATTTAAGGCTGTTTTCTCAATGTCTGTTCACCTGTCTTCTGCCCAGTCGGCGTAATTGATTGTACCTATTAAACACCAAATAATTATGGGACCGGCCCATGTGTATGATTTATGATGTTTTTTACTATCCTATCTTCTAAGTTGGTCCGGAGTGGACACTCTTCTCTTTCAGCGGAGTGGAGGCCTTCCTCTTCCTCTGCTTCCCCCGGCGGGTACTGCGTCGAATACTGTCAGAGCTGGAGTGTGTTCATCCGGACAACATGACCTAGCCAGCGTAGCCGCTGTTTTTAATTCGCTGAGCTATGTCAATGTCGTCGTATATCTCATACAGCTCATCGTTCCATCGAATGCAATATTCGCCGTGGCCAACGCGCAAAGGACCATAAATCTTTCGCAAAACCAGACCCATTTGCGTTGCTTCCTTGTCCAGTCTGGAGCAAGCAGAACTAACGGCGCGGGTGTTGAGACCGATGATATCAATATCATCGGCATACGCCAGCAGCTGTACACTCAAATCGAAAATGGTACTTTCTCTATTTRGTTCTGCAGCTCGAACTATTTCTCCAGAAGCAGGTTGAAAAAGTCGCACGATAAGGAATCGCCTTATCTGAAACCTCGTTTGGTATCGAACGGCTCKGAGATGTCCTTCCCGATTCTGACGGAGCTTGTGGAGCAGGTCCACGTCAGCTTACACAGTCGTATAAGTTTTGCAGGGATACCAAATTCAGACATCGCGGCATAAAGGCAGCTCTTTTTCGTGCTGTCAAAAGCAGCTCTGAAATCGACGAAGAGGTGGTGAGTGTCAATTCTCCTTTCACGGGTATTTTCCAAGATTTGGCACATGGTGAATATCTGGTCGGTTGTTGATTTTAAAGGTCTGAAGCYACACTGATAAGGTCCAATCAGTTTGTTGACGGTGTGCTTTAATCTTTCTCACAATACGCTCGATAGAACCTTATAACCGAACTACACACAGTATGCTAAATTTTCTTAAAATCGGTTCAGTAGTTTAGGAGTCAATCGCGGACAAACAACGTGACACGTTATATATATATACTATGTACTAGCAGACCCTGTCACGCGTTGCTATGGATACATTTTTTGTTATTTACATTGTTTTAACTCAGGGAACAGTTACCCCTCAATACAATGAAATTATTATGTACGAACCAARACGGAAACTTTAAAGCTGGTATAAGAATCCACTGGATTGGAATTTAAAGGGAAAGGACTTTTAATACGATTGAACGAAATTTTCATACTATTTAATATGGTAAGAGTTGATACAAAAAATTAATTTCAAAATAATTCTTTTTTATTTAAATTTCTAAGAAATAGTTTTAAATCTTGTTGTTAACTCGGCTATAATCGCTTGAGCGGTGTCTACGTCAATTAAGACGAAAGTTTCAACTCTTTAATAATAATACTCAATATTTTGAATTATCAATACCTTATTCGATTCGACGGTTTTCCTACACGTGAACATTCTACGTTGTTGCCAATAGGAAAAACATGGATTTCCAAATCTAAACCACAAATGGACATTGTTTGGCCTTGAGATTTATTTATCGTCATTGCTAAACCAACTGAAAATTGTAGCTTCTGAAGGTTATCGTAGAATCCGGGGATATCATTGGAATACGTGGCAAAAAGACCACTTCATCTTTAAACTTTCCAGATAATATGGTTGCTTCAAGAATACTTCCGGTGATCTTTTTGATAGCCAAACTTGCAGCATTGCATAATAGAGGTGCCTTCAAATTACGCAGGAGAAAAATATGTAGGTGAACCATTCTTTAATCGAAGATTATATGGTGGCATTCCGGGTGAATTTCAAAATACAGTTGGAAAACTAACACCTTCATTATCTTTAAGAATAATACCGATTGTTTCTAAATACATCAAATCGCCTGGTAACAACTGTTGTATTTGGAAGTTAATTTATTCAACAACAGCCGAAATAGCGCGCTCACTGAGCCAGTTATGATTCCAGTAATTACTCTGTATATTCGGAAAAGTACTCTGAATCCATTAATTTATTTTCTAAGGAAATAAATTATTTGGTAGTTTAATGCTCTTTCAACCCGCTTTAGTCATGCCTCTCTGCTTCGAGCRTTGTTGAGCTCTTTGTCTATTATTTGACAGTCACAATTATCCGTTAGCTCCAATATATCCTAACGGATGACGTCAACTGTTGGCTGGATCGAGTGAGTATTCAATAGATGGCGCTATGTTAAAAACACAAATTTWATAGCATAATAATTACATACTGCTGAAACTAAGGTGTAACCTAAATGTATTTTGTATTTGAATATTATACCATATTCAGACCGACACTTAATCACACTATTTCGGCTGTTGAGTGGTTAATCCCTCTAATCTTATAAATTTATAATGATTTCGCAATACAAAAATGAAAGTTCGAAATCACTTCATCGGATTGACTTGAAAGTGATCCACGCTAAATCTCTCTGTACGACTCTGATTTTGCGCCATCTACTTGTCGGCGTTGGAAATCTATTACATTATTACATTCAGATTCAGATACTACAAAGGGAAAAAATATAAACCACCAAATTTTTTTTACAGCAGTGAATATAATTTCACCTGAAAATCGACTGCCCAAATGAAAAATACGTCCATTATTTCCACTATGTGGAAAATATTTAAAAGAATACGGTTTTTCTTACAAAATACTAAATGACAATGTTTTATTTTACTAAATATTGAGCGATATGAATTCTTGAATGGCAAAAACAACTGTTTTTCATCTTTTGAACGCCAGTGAGAACGGGCTAATTAGTGAAAGGTTTAAATGTAATCTAATCCTTTAAAATTTTCGGTCTGAACATGGTATTAAAATAATTACTGATTATGCTATTAGATTTTAGCTTATATAAAAAGTTTGAATTTTTAACATAGCGCCATCTGTGAGAATCTTTTTGAGCTAACAATAATTCTGACTGTCAAATAATAGACAAATAATATATACTATGTTAGGACCGACATTGGAAACATTTTGAAAACACATTTGAATGTTGTGGAATCTAAGTCGTTCGGACCGACAATGTGTGTTTTCGATGAGTTCTCACTGACAACTATCAAAAGCGGTATTCTTTTGCTTTTGCAAAATTGCACGATGACACAAACTGCAAAAATCCTTTATCGAAATATGCAAGGCCAAGAGAGCACCCATTGCAGAATCTAGTGATATATGATGGAACGAAAATAAACATGGGTTTTGGTCTGACTTATTTTACAGCCATTGCAGTTGATTTTCTGCGTGTGTTTGTTGTAGTGCCGTTGCACCAAAGGGAAATTCGGAAATTTCTGCACGGTGCACGATTTTGCAAGAGCAAGAGAATCCCCCTTAWATGAGAATATCAAGCGACAGCTGTATTTGTATGTGGAATGTAAACAAATATCAAGTGGCAATTTAGGGCTGGCAACACATGTCGTCCAATAACATCGACTAAACTAGAGCAGGCACCGATTATAATGAGTGGAATGTAAGTTTTCAAGTAGTTTTCAGCGAAAACTGTGTTTTCGTTTGACAGATTTTACATGAACGAAAACACAGCTTTCGTGCGAAAATCAGTTTTTCCCACGAAAACATGTTTTCGTTTTCGGTCCGAACATAGTATTACATTCTACTCATTATAATCTGTGCCTGCTCCAGTTTAATCGAATTTTTTGGAAGACATATTTTGCCGGCCCTAAATTGTCACTTGATATTTGTTTACATTCCATATGAAAATACAGCTGTCACTTGATATTAATTTCAAAAATGGAAAAACAAAAAATATAAGAAAAGAATTGTGGCAGAGTAAAGTAAGTCCTAGGAAAAACAACCACATAGTGGAGGAAATGGCAATGGAGTTGCAGCAACAAGGTTTGCATTTCATGGCGAGTGAAATAAAATCGAAAATGCACAATCTTTCACAGAGATATAGGTATGTAATTAAATAAAATTAAGGAAAAATAGAGTTTTTACATATATATCATGTTTTACAGGAAAGAGAAGACAGCAGTCAGGTCAACTGGTGGTTCTTCCTCGCAGCGGCCACTTTATGWTAAAATGAGAGGCGTACTGTTGCCGTAGCAACGCCGAGAGCTTAGTGGAGGAAAGTATTCAATGAAAGAAGTAAGAAACATTTGTTTTGTAATTCAATATATTATTTATATTTACATACATATGCACATTTTTAAAAAGGTTCTACTAACTTGGAACCATTCCAAATTTCGGTGGAAACGGCAACGTCTTCTACATTTGTTGCTGCATTTCCATTGTCATCACCGGTTTGTCTACCATCGCCGTCAGCGATGCCGATATCGCCAACCGATACTTCTTCGCTACCAGTACCGTCTCCCGAGCCGAGTGATTCTATTAAAAAAAGAGGGAATCATTTTCAGAGCATTATATTAAAAAAATTTGAAAAAATTTAAAAACACCTCGAGCAAGCAAGTCAGGAATCCATGGAAACCCGCAAAGAAATTAAGGACTTGACAAAAAAAAATGGTTGAAAAGACAATAAACTGAAATGATGGAACAATATATGAAAGACACTAAAGAAACAAATGAACGATTACTTCAGTTTCTAAGTAATTAAAAATAATAATAATAATGAATMCACGTATTATCTGTTTGATAATATACATATGTTTAACGTTGACATGAATTAGTTTTTATACGGAAAATAAAATTAAATTTTGTTTGGTGTGTACAACTTTATCTTTGATTCAATATATGTATATGTAATTGTGTAAGATGTAGACATTGTGATACAATGTACACATGTACTTACCAAAATATGTACAGAGTGCTACCCGAATCATTTCTCCATTAATTGGGTCGTCAGATGCATATGAAATATCGCACGGATTCTGTCGTCTAGTCTCCAACTCTTCCAAAGTTTAGCGTGTCGTTGTTATCATTTACAAAATTGTGAAGGACGCAACATGCTTTTATTATGGAGTTGGCATTCCGTACAGAGTTGTCAATTCCTTCTCCGATGCGTCGAAAGCGGACCTTTAGGTATCCAAAAGCATTTTCGACAACTCTACGTGTTTCCGAAAGAGTGTAGTTGAATACCTTCTCACCATTATTGTTATTTACGCTTCATTTGTTGTTTGCTAAATAGAAAAGCCGAAACCCCAAAAATGAATACTGGCACATTTACGCCTGAAATATCTCTAGACATGTCGCTCAGTAAAGGAGAACTATCCATTTCTTTCTTAAGTGATGACGTCTCATAAATTTGAGAGTCATAACATCGCCCGGGACTTCCTACGTTTATGTAAGTAAAACGGTAACTGAAAATACATTGTAAACATTACTTACCTTACTTACATATGTACTAATATGTATATTGAGTTTCTAGACTTTACTTAGCATCAACTAATGCAATTAAAACAGTGTAATGCTATCCTTTATAATTATAATAATCCACAGCTTCGTCAAATGATGGATGAATCTCAATTTGGCATTGGTCTGTAAACAATTATTAGAACATTAGCGCAAATTTAAGATTTTATAACCAATATTTACCAATTGCTCCTAAGCATTGTGGGAATCCAATTACCTCGAATTTCTCTGTTTAGAGGCAACATTTTAAAACAGGATGGCKGCAGTAATCTCCAGATTTCGGTGCAAAATTTCAGTAAAATTTCGCAAACCGTAGATTTTCCTACACCGAACATGTTGGTGATACTACGATAATCTGCAGATGACCCTAAAGCAAATAATGTTATAGCCATTCTTTTCTCGATAGGAATAGCTTTTTGGTAATTTGTATCCATTTTTTGTAACGGGCGGAGGATGTCACATAATTTATCAAAGGAACTTCGGTCCATGCRAAGGTTCTATTGAAAAAAAAGCAGATTCGTTTCGTGTTCGCAAAACGTATTCTTACGTTACTGGAATTAATAATATATAATTGAAAACTTTTGCATCAGTAGGAACATATACACACTTTTGTCCAACATGAATTAATCGGCATCCCAAGGTCCTTTATTAAATCTAATACGATTAGATGTTGTTTCTGTAACCCGGCTATATTTTTTGCAAAGGCATGGTACTGAGTAGTAAGACATTCCAATAGTTCTCTTGAAGAATTGTCGATGAGCAGGATATTTATTTGGCTTCTCAAAGCCAATGCTTTCGCAATTAATATCTTTTAGTATAAATTATCTGTAGTAATAATTATAAGCAAATATTGAGGATTTCAAAACATACCATTCTCGTTGCTCAAATGTAAACAAACAAATAAATTTGTGAGCTATCAGTGAAAACTTATACTATGTTCGGACCGACATTGAAAACATTTTGAAAACACATTTGTATGTTGTGGAATCTAAGTCGTTCGGACCGACAATGTGTGTTTTCGATGAGTTTTCACTGRCAACTATTAAAAGCGGTATTCTCTTACTCTTGCAAGATTGCACGATGACACAAAATGCAAAAATCCTTTACCGAAATATGCAAAGCCAAGAGAGCACCCATTGCAGAATCTAGTGATATATGATGGCAGGAAAATAAACATGGGTTTTGGTCTGACATATTTTACAGCCATTGCAATCAATTTTCTGCGTGTGTTTGTTGTTATGCCGTTGCACCAAAGGGAAAATTCTGCAATTTCTGCACGGTGCAAGGTTTTGCATGAGCAAGAGAATCGCCCTCATATGAGAATATCAAGCAACAGCTGTATTTGTATGTGGAATGTAAACAAATATCAAGTGACAATTTAGGGCCGGCAAAACATGTCTTCCAAAAACATCGATTAAACTAGAGCAGGCACCGATAATAGTGAGTGGAATGTAAGTTTTCAATTAGTTTTCAGCGAAAACTGTGTTTTCGTTTGACAGATTTTACATGGACGAAAACACAAGTTTTCGTGCGAAAACCAGTTAAATATTATTACAAGTTATAACTTGAATCTTATTTTTCCCAAAATCCTTTAACTCTTGCAGCAATTTGTGCTGAATAATTGGTTGAACCACCAGATAGCACGATATGTTTCTGAAATTTCTTACGCATAACTGTAGTAAAGAAATAATATTATATCTACGGTGACCATCCGTACTTTCGCAGTACTGTACTGATTTTGAAGCACCTGTTCTGCGGAATTTTTTTTTTTTTTTTTTTTTTAATTTTTCTCTATTCCCAATGCAGGTAAACACGATGTGCTGCGCCATTTGGAATCTCAGAAACATCGAAAAGCCGATATTGCAGATTCTAGCAGCAAAATCGTGATGAGCTTTGTAAGGACATGTACAATAGATGATCAGCGAAGAAAAAGCAACGTAAATGAAGGCACCTGGGCATATCACACTGTACAGCATAATTTTTCATTTCGTTCCAATGACTGCACATCGAAAATCATTAAAATATGTTGTGACGAAAATTATTCATTAGCTCGCACCAAGTGTGAATCTATTGTTTGTAATCTATTAGCACCGCATGCATTACAACTAGTGAAAGCTGATTTTAATGCTATCAATTTTATTGCCGTTTTTTCCGACTGCTCAAATCATGGAAGTATGAAAGTGTGTCCTGCTCTTGTTCGATATTTTCTGCTTGAGACGGGTGTGCAATTAAAAATATTGGAAGTAAATTATCTCCGTGGTGAATCGTCAGATATATTGATAAATTATATTTTTGATCTTATGAAAAAGTTTGCATTAAGTGAGAAGTTACTTGCTGTTTGTGCAGATAACACTAATTGTAACATTGGGGAAAAATAATCTTTTCCATAAATTGGTAGTATCCACTGGCAGCACCCTTATTGGCGTAAACTGTGCTGCTCACATTGTTAATAATCGCATACAAAGTTCAATAGAGTGTCTTCCGGTGGATATTGAAGTCATTGTCGTTAAAATATATTCCTACTTTTATATATACACGGTTAGAGTAGAGCATTTAAAAGAAATTTGTGAAAATGTTGATGCCGAATATAAAAAAATGTTAGGCTTTAGTAAAACAAGATGACTTACTCTAAAGCCAGCTACAGAACAGATCTTAGAACTTTTCAAACCACTTAAAAAATATTTTTTAGAACAGCCTCACTGCCTAAGCCTCTTAAAGCTTTTTTGAAAACTCAACCTCGGAAATGTGGCTTTTCTTTACACATTGCAAACAACGCTTTTTCATAATTACATTATGCAGATTGAATCGCCGAATATTTGCCTGATAGAAGTTGCCTTACTAATGAAGGAACTTAAATTGAAAATCACGGAACGCAGAGATGCAATTTTTGTACCTCTCCTGATGAAGAACCTCATGTGAGAGTTTGAAAAAGCAGGAACTGGAATCTTAAGAGAAATTATAGATCACGTTAAAAACTTTTATAATAATTGTTTTAATTATATAAACCAGTGGGGTCATGCACTTAAAGAGGTTGAGGTAATGGAATGGATTCTTCTGCGCACAGTGCCATCTTGGGATGAGGTTGAAAAAATTTAGTGTATATTATGGAAAAGAGAAGCAATATTAATGACATTGAATTGTTTGATAAATTCACCTGCGTTAAAATGTATGTAACTCCAGATAAACTCATTAAATGGGAGAAAAATAAAAAGCTAGTTGACCAAAAATGAACTGAAATTTTTCAACATTTAAAAAAACAATGTGTAACTTATCAAAATATAAGTAAAATTGTCGAATTCGCAGGTATATGTATATCGATGCCACATCCCATTTAGCATAGTTTCTATTCCATCACGCGCACAGTTTCAAAGTCAGTGGATTGACTTATAATTTTATTACGCATTTTATTAAGCTTTAAGTCTAACTTTGTACTTAAAGTACTAAACGACACTAAACTTAATCAGATATCTCGTGATGTCACAATCGGCGATGTCTATTCGTTGCCAGTAAACTTAATAATTTAATTTAATAATTTTTTCTCGATTCTTCAGTAGAATTTGGCCGGTTCTGTTAGCAGAATTTTTGTGTTTTTTGGATCTGTATAAAGTTTTTTCGGAAGTGCAGTCCCACACGTGGCACATATCCTCCTAATTGCGTCCCACACCAACTACGCCTATTTACGAACTCGAACTTTTGTTGTACTAAGAAACCTACATCTACATACCTAGGAGGATGCAGTCATGTGCAGAAGTTCACGCAAGTGAGGAAAGTTTTCTGATCGCCATTCACTTGGGAGTGGCCAGAAACGATCCTTTTACATATGACTAAAGCAGCTCACGACTTCCGGTCCTTGACCAAGTATCCTCTGGGTAGCCTAAGAACATCCGTTTGAAAGTGAGCTAAAGTGAGAAGGCGAAACATTCCCTGCATAGGGTTGTGCGCTGGGTTTAGGACCCGCCACGTAAAAAAACCACCCCAATAACAACGCAACAACAGCCTCGGATGAGAGACCCCACTTTTGATGACGACTATGGCAAACGAAATAAGGACTACAAATTGAGGGCATGCACCTGGAATGTCCGGTCCCTTAATTGGGAAGGTGCCGCTACCCAGCTGGTTGATGTCCTCGTAAAAATAAAGGCTGACATCACC